GGGGGGGGTACTCTAACTTCTGTATGTGTGGCATCTTGCAGGTGTCCTATTTTTCCTTCTTGACACAGAAACAATCCCCAAAATACCATCAAAAAAGTGGGTTTTCTTTCATTACTCAGCTTATTACCTCTCATTGTTAGACAGGCACTAGAAATCAAATTGAGCATGCACACACACGCGCGCTCACACACACACGCACACACACACATTCATCATGGCTGCCGACACTCTGCTCCCCTGCAGGTGCGAGGGCCATCCGCCTGGCCCTTTCATGGAGCCCTCTTTCCTGTCCGTCTGCAGCCGTCCATTCAGCTTCAATCGCAGCAGCAGCCGGACTCGGACCGCCGGCGGGGACGGGAAGTGCGTCCACCCCCCACCCCCCTCGCTCTTGCAACAAGAGAAGAAGAATGAAAGAGGGTCTTCCTCCTCGGCGTCTCCTTCTGCTTTCATCAGAAACAACTTGCTTTCTGTTTGTCGCGGTGCTGTCCCTCTCCTCTTCCCTTCCTCTCGCCTCCCCCCCCATCAGATGAGGAGGTGGAGGAAGGGAGGTGCAGGGCAAGGAGAGGACGACCAGGCTCCCAGTGCGACGGGGTGATGCTGAGGTCTTTTTGTGGCTCATGAATGGCACGTTTGAGGTTTGCAGCCTTGCTCTGTGCCCCAGGCCAGCTTCACCTGTGTTCCCAGTCAATTGGCCTGTTGTCTGTCTGCCTGGACTGGTGCCCGGCTCTTTACCAGCCAATTTGGTTAGCGGGGGCCGCTCAGAACCGAACAACAATAACCTCCACCTCAAAACCACCAATTAACTCCCCCCCAGGACCCACACACACACGATGATGTATCTATTCACTGTTTGCCAAAACTGTTCTCCGACACAATTAGGAGCCATGCTAACGGTGCTTGTACCTGCTCTCTGTCACTTCACCGAGGCCTGGCGAGTCTAATGGCTTCCAAACTGCTAAATGGTCTTAGTGGTGCATTCCATTAAGCCCGCGATGTTGTTTTTCTTTTAATTAGCAGCTTTCAATTAAACGAACAAAGAGAAAAGGTAAGAGCAGTTTCACTGAGGGTTTCAAACGAGCCCTCAGCTGCACTCATACCTTCACAGGAGCTGCTTTTCTTCTGTTTGTCAGGAAAATGTCCCCAATGTTCGCTGAAAGGAGTCGACAGTGATAGCTGTGAAGTTCTTAGTAGATGCAGAGACAACAAAATATGCAAAATAAATGTAGAAGTTTGCAAAAAAATTAAAGCAATTCTTATGAGAATGTTTTTGATTCAGTCCTGGTTTCAGCAGGATCAGCAGGAAACGTGATTTTAATTCTGAGTACAGGAGAAGACAAACAGGACGGTGGATCAGTGGTCAGTGCAGCTGTCTCGTAATCCTGAGGCTGCATGTTCAAGCTCCGCTTGCGCCACGTGGGCCATTTAGCGAAAAATAATTTGCCAAATCCAAGTTTGCTCGCTGTAGCCACCTCTGCAGAACCGATGAACTGGAAGAACCTCTGCAGAAGAACTTCAGTGTGAACTCAGTATTTTAAACATAAATCTGTTTATTTAGTTAAGATAGAAAAATCATAAAAGTTTAATCTTGCCCATCTGTCTTTTATTTATAGTTCAGAAACACCATCCTTTTTTCTACACTAAACACATGAAAGCTGGATGATCATGTAATTTGGTGCACGTCTGTTAGTAAAATATCTCATGAAACAGTAGATGCATTTTAATGAACCTGTTAAATCATCATGGCATGTTCACAAACTCATGAACCGTTGGTTGTGTTCTTAAAGGGTTGGGAGGAGTTGAGTCGAGGTGTGGCCGTGAGAGCAGCATTTAGCTCCTTCTCCTCACTGCGAGCGGCGACTCTTCTCTCAGGCAGCTGCAGAAATGAGAAAAGTGAGCTGCCGCTTCGAAGGCAGACACCTCCAAACCTGAATGTCGTCATGGTGGACGGCAGCTGGCTTTTTGTTTCTTTAGGCAGAAGATAAACGATCAGAGCAGAATGAAGACAGGATTTTATTAGTCGGAGGATTTTTCTTCTGAAGCCTCTGAGGTTTTTATTTTTTGACTGAGTCCAACTCGAACTTCTGGACGGACAATGAATGTTTTGTCAAACGCAACAATCAGGGCCCCAGAGCAGTCTCCCGCCCTCTGTGGCCCCGGCTCCATCCACGATTTACCCCACTGCCCCCCAGGGTTTCGCTTGAGCTCCTGCATGAACCCCGTACCGATGCTGAGCCTCCAGGCAGGTCCCAGGTCCTCAAAGGCCCAGAAGGAGTTGAGCGCCGAGGAGCAGCAGGAGCTCAGACGGAAGATCAATAGCAGAGAGAGGAAGAGGATGCAGGACTTGAACGTTGCCATGGACGCCCTGAGGGAGGTCATGGTGCCCTACGCCTCCTCTCCTCCTGCCTCCTCGCAGTCCCATCAGCCTGGTGCCCCTCCAGGACGGAGGCTTTCCAAGATCTCCACCCTGGTCCTGGCCAGGAACTACATCCTCCTTCTTGGTTCCTCTCTGCAGGAAATGCGGCGGCTCCTGGGGGAGGTAAGCGTCGGGATGGGAGTGAACACGGGGCCCGTTCCCCGGCTGCTGTTTGCAGGAGGGTGGCCCCTGATGGCTGGACCGGGTCAGCTCCTCCTCACCCATGAATCCCTCGTGTCCTCAGCGGCCTCATCGTCTTCCTCTCCCTCCGCTTTGTCATCCTCCACAGCAGCTAAATGTTCCCTGGTTTCTCCGGGCCCCATGGAGGCCTCACTGGCCCCAGTATGGAGCTCTGCAGGGGTTGCAGGGGGGGCCCTCTGCCCCTGCGGAGTCTGCAGACTGCCCAGGTTCAACCATTCCAAAGCTGCCCCCAGATTCCCAAAGTAACAAATCAAAGGATCCTAAATGGACTTGATGTTCGCAAACTTTTACATAAGAGATTTTGCTAACATTTTAACACAGTTTTAAAGTTTTACTACATTACTGATCTCCGTGTTTTATTTTAATTAAAATTTACAGATTTATTCTGAATTATTTTCTCTAAATCTAATAACATGGTCTTGATTGCAAGAGGGGAATAATTTTATTTAGTTTTTCTTGTTTCAAAGAAACTAAGAAGTCTTTAGATAATTATGTTTTCTTGCATAAAAAATTCAAACTGTGTGCCTGATGTTCAGTTTGATTGACAGCTGTTTAAAAATAAAATAATGTTTAAAACAAGAC